AGTCCAGTCCAGTCCAGTCCCCGAAATAGCATATGCCTCCTCTAGAGCGCAATGCAACTGTTTTTAATGGGTTGTTGCCTGTAGAGTGCAGGAATCTTATCGTCACAAGTTGAAATAAAACATCTTGACCTGCGGATAATAACCATATCAGCTTTTGCTATTAGATACTGATCCTCAAACTCTAGACTGTTCTTGATTAACGTGCAAATGTTTTGACCCAATTTACTAGTACTGCATTATTCATCGAAAATGAAGAGCAAACTTCGAATTCATTACCAATAAACTAAAACCCGTCACTGCGTCTCCTGACTCGAAAGCTGGAATCACTCCGCCGGAAGAGAAAACGAAATAACTTATGTGACCTATAAAAAAAATTAGAAATAACTCGGTAAAAAAAGCTTCCTCTCCAGTGATTAAATACGGGCTCGGAAAAAAAATTATCACTTGCTTATACTATCAGTTCTTATTTTTAACGAAGAATATTCAATTCCAGCCAAAACTTATTTAGGCTAGAAATCCGCATAAACCCACACATGAAATAAAAATACTCTGCATATTCTCTGAATATTCCAATGAGCATTCCGATTAAGTACTGTCAAAATGAAACCGAACATGGTCTTTTTGGAGTGATACATGATTTTAAGAACTGACAATTTTTTGTAAGTATTATGGGATTTATATCTCTTCTCCCAGCAATCCATGTTGGCCAAATTATCATTTAAAATAGTAATAATGATCCAACGAAATTTGATATGACTGTCACGGTCTTTTTCTAAGTAAGATGTAATACTTTGAAGTGTGGATAAATCATTATTTTACTTACCAGACCAGATTCCAGCTCTTGTTAACGGTTAAAACATATTTGAAAGTGGTGACTTTCTCGGTGGGGCCCGGAATCCCGATGATTTGTGATGCAGAAAAACTTGTCAATGATAAAAAATGTTTCAGAATCTTCTAGCTCGATGATCTTAGCAGACTAACTAATTCTCTGTAATTCTCTGTAATTCTCTTTCTAGCGTTGGTAATATCTCGGCTACTAAAGCCAAATTAAGACTAAAAGTGACCGCAAACAAAGTGGGTTGTACAACGTTGTTAATTTACGACAACCCTCGGATTAACTGCTCCCTGGCACAGTTCTTGACCAGCTGATAAAACTTCATCGCCTGAAATTCTCAATTCCGCTCCATCCTATCTCACTGTCGCGTTGGTTAAGTGCAAACTTTCAGATAGATTATGTAATGTCCGCGCATTACTGCGTCTGTTTCAAGTTCGCTTATCACAGAACAGCTCACTCATATTATAATTTATGTGCTTAATTGTTCCTAATTTGTATTGGCATCGATATCAGCGCCACTCTGCCTTAAACGTATTTCAATTTCACTTTCAACGAGGAAAATAGCCAAATGTAAAAATAATATGCCTACATTTTTCTGTGAAGACCAGCCGTAGCTCATCTTCTTTACAAGATATCTGTATGAAATGCTAGTTGCCAAACGAATACCATTTTGAAGTTCAATACATGTTAAATTCAAACTACATGTCATCATGTTGCAGTGACTGCATAATCATTTCCAAGCCCGTGGTCGCATTAAAATGCTGAAACAAAAATTGCATTTACACCCCACTCACTATCTGGCAGTGGAAAAATAAAACTTCCACCTTTTTTTAGATTTTATGGAGCTGTTTGGTCAATCATAAGACGAAAAAAGAAAACAATTTTCACGTAAAATCATGGCCATCGACACAACATGATATTTGGAAGCTGTAACCGACTGATCTTTCGCTTTTGCTTGAATTAATATAGCATCGCTAGCAGAAGGATATAGTTGATTACAAGTGGCAACTTGAGCTTTATAGTCTTGAAATTTGAAACAGCACAACCATCGCCCAGGAACTCTCAGTTAACAGTTTTTGATGGTTGTGTAAAACGTTTTAAAAATACGGTTCCGGTCAATGATACCTTTAGCAGGAAAACTTGAAATGCTGCCTTATACGCGATGAACACTGAGAATAACTGACTGACAAGTCAGGATGATATTCCCAGTATTATGTGTTCAGCTGTCTTCCGTACTATAGATAAAGAATTATGTAAATTCATCTTCAGTTTCATGCAGTTATTTTCATTATTACAGCGCACGGAAAACATTTGTTGATTCCGATCAATTATTATCATTTTTATCATCATGGTAAATTATCGTGTAATGAACACTCCTCAAAGACGAGGTTTAAATTGCCGCTTTCAATCATTCGTTGCCACGGGCAACATTAGTGTTCAGGCGTGATTGACAACATTGATTGAAAGGGGTTTGTCGATCTTAGTGCATTTTTTTCTGTCTGATGTACCACTTTCAATTATTTGATATAAATCAAGAGAAAATAATGGAGCTTTTATATTTATGTGATCTCTTGATTAAAATTGAAATTAAAATGTTAAGTGTTTTTTCCCTTCTTGGAACACCAGAGGAAAAGAAGAAAGCTCCATGACAGGTTGCACTTTGCGAAAGTCACATTTTGTGACAATGAGGTTGCAGTTCAGCGAGCAAGACATTGAAATCAATACATGAGCTTGCATTGCATTCTTGTCTATGGCAGCTGTTTTTATTAACAAACTAGTGAACACCGGATTTCGACGATCTCTATCTTAGGAAAATTCGCCGGTGTGGTTTCTTTAGCATAACAAAAATCAAACACAAATGTTTTAATTTCTTTTTCATGATCCAACCAGAAATTGAGTCAGTAGCTTCCAAATCGGTGCTATCCTTGTCAGTAAAATATATGTTTTCAGTTATTTATCGTAAAGTTTACAAAAACCAAAGGGAATGCCTGAGGCTTGGGAGAGTGGGTTTGCAACTGATTAAAATGGAAACATTTAAAAAAAGTTATCTGCACTCCCGTTAGTCACGGAAACCAAAAAATCAGAGGTTGTGTTCTAGCGACAAATGTTAAAATTTGTCACCTGTATATAGCTTTTAGAACCTGCATTTGTTTATTCTTTAGTTGTCATTGCCTCACCAACGACAAAATGGAAGAACAAATTTTGTCTACATTTTAGTTGAACCGACTTCGACTGAAATTTTGAGCAAAGATCCTGTCCAAATTATACTAGAAAGAGAAGAAAACTATGCGTGGTATCCAAGGTTTATTTGTTTGCTTCCCCGATATAAAAAGAAAAAAGGAGGAATGCCATTCAAAAGGTGTGAAACTGAACTGATGTTTGTAGTATTTAGGTAATTTATTCAACAGGAGAACACGATATTCAGGCCTTTTTGAAGTTGTGTAACTCAGTTTTTATAAAGAGATAACGTTCAGCGTGGCCCCCTTTGCGTTTTATACAAGCATTCTTCCTACATAAGGACTTCAGTACTATCCAAGCCAGTTCACTCTTTGGCTCAAAACAACGCCCTTGTAGTTTTTTCAAGTAATGTATTCAAACGAAAAAAACATTAATTTTCTAGCCTTTTTTAATGTTACGTAATACTGGTGAAGGGATGTCCATCAGCCCTACTCTCTTGTGCGCTCGTTATTGGCATTCTCGCCGGCTACGCAGCCTCGTAAACCAGTTCGCTCTATATTTCCCGAGGGAAAGGAAGGTACAAGCTTGGAAATGGTTTCAACTCAAATTCTGGGTCTGTCTCCGTGATCATGCTGCACGTAAATATAATTATTAGTATCTAAACCTCCAGCCACACCCTAATATATCCGAGCACAAATATATAACTGAGGGTTGAGAAAGGACGATTGAAATATGCATATGCAGATGAAATTTCCCTCCTCGAAAAGAGCCATTTTAAACATTTCCATGCTCGTTTATAAACAATTCTTACTGAAAAAGGCTTCGCATGGCATTTTGTCTTAGTTAACGCACCAATATCGTTACTTTGAGGGTATTATCATATTTTTTTGATTCCCATTTTTGAAATATGAAAATTTGAATAGAAAGACATGCTGAATGTTACATGTGAATATTTAAACTTTGCCTTATTGATTTCATAAATATACAAGAATACCAATGTTAGTTACCGTCAGTTTGAGGAAATTTGAGCGGATGAATCCGTAAAACACTTTAATATTCTTGATTTTCATCCAAACCTGTGGTCACTATTTCTTTAAGTTAGCCCCAAAATTTCAAGTACAGCTTTGCTCGCCCTTAATGCATTAATTTCATACAGCTTTGTTAAAGTATATTAATTATTAAAAATTTGAAAATGCAAAATTTATCACACAAAGAGCAGAGAGAAGCGTTTGATAAAAATTACTACTTCAATGCCTAAAATCTTTGACAACATCGAGCTAAAAAATAAGTTATTTTTCTGTTCATGTTTTTTTCTAAGTACTCACATGTTTTCGTTGGTACGTAGTTTGATCCAAAGGAAGATATTGCCACTCAGCTAGCCACGCTATGTGATATTATTAGTTCAAGTCAACTGTTATATTAAGTTTGCTCATAATCAGGTATGCGCAATTTCCGTCAATCTCGGTAAACTTCCCAAACAAGTGAATTTGATATTAGCTCTGCGGCCTTCTATCATCACGTCCGATCTAAGCTATGATGCATTTTCGCGACAATATCCAGAGTGGAAAACACTTGCATTTTGGTAGAGCTTCGAGCGAGGAATCCGAAGATCTTACCTTCAATTCCTCATAGGGACTTAAAATTTTTCCATTGTCTTACGCTCGTGACAAGAAGAAAAACATCTTTCTCTCGCTTGCATTTTAACTTCCATTTAAGTGGGTGTTCAAGATGTTTCCTTGTGGCTCTATAAAAACTTCAAT